TTTTGCTTTTAATCTTGACTTATTCTCAACATCTAGATTTTTTTGAAAGCAGATTTTGCTTTTATATATTGATAATATGTTATTACCAATATGTTATTTATGGATATACATTCATAGTTTGCTTTTGATGATATTGTAAAAACAGAAACTGTTCCTCCTGAAGTTTTAAAAGTAAACAGAAAAGTAAACCGAGTCCTCGTGATTTCCCGTGAAATGAAGGTGAACAGAAATATCAAGAAGCCCATCTTGAGGGAGTCTGGGGGGCCGCGTGAAAACATGAAAGGATTAAGAAGTACACATTGCTAGTTACAAAACAGTCACAGGGATGTGAAGCGCAGCGTAGGGAATATAGTCAGTAATATTGTAATAACTACGTATGCTGCCAGGAGGCTCCTAGACTAATGGAGGATTCCTTCGTAAGTTATATAGATGTCTAACTGCTATTCTGTATACCTGAAACTAATATGAACTAATATTAAATCAAACTAATATGAACTAATTAAATTAGACTAATATAAACTAATATAAAATAATATTAAATGTCAACTCTAATTGAAAAATAAAATAAAAATAAAGAAAAGCCAAACCTATAGAGATATAAAGTAGATTAGTGGTTGCCTGGGCTGGGATGGAGATTGACTTTAACGGGCATGAGGGATCTTATAGAAATGAAAAAAATATTGTACAATTCTGTAAATATACTAAAAACCATTGAATTGTACATTTACAATGAGCAAATTTTATGATATGTAACTTATACCTCAATAAAGTTTTTTAAAAAGAAGTCCATCCTGATAATTTATTAAAATACTCATAAAATTCTTGAAATGTACATAATTACTGTACTCCTAATGGAGAAAAATAGCATTATATTTGTAGAATGCATAAAATTATAGAATATATAAATTTATAGAAACTTACATCTCCTTCATGCCACAGGGTCAGTGTTCAACCCCAGGCCCTCTGCACACTCTGCCATAGTCCCCAGCCTCAGCTATGGGGACAGTCATACATCATCTGTCCATCATCCCTTAGCTGAGTGTTCCTCTCTAAAGTTAACACAGGACAGATTCAAAAGGTCAAAATTAAAATTCAACACATGCTTACTGAGCATTCACCTATTGTGTGTCAAACACCTTTCTAGGCAATGACAAGCCCCTGAATAACAGAACGTAAGAAACAGCCATGAATAAATGATGAAGGCTACAAAGAAAATTAAACAGGGTGGTAGGCAGTGGTAAGAGAGCCTCCCTGAACTGAAATCTAGATGAATGCAGTTGCCTGCAGCTAAGATGTCTGGAGCGGATGGGAACAGTATGTGCAAGGAAAGTCTCGGAGGAGGAATGAGGCCAGACCGGTCTGGGAGACAGAAGGCACCCGTGTCTCCAGAGAACAGTGTTTGCAGGAGGACAGTGTGAAGCAAAGGGACACAGGGACCAAGTCGGGGATGCCCTAGTGGGACTCTGGCCAGGAGCAAGGGGTCAGGACCCAAGTGTATGGAGAATAGAAATAGGGAGGCAAAGGTGCAAACAGATCAGTTAGAAGGCCTTTGCAGCGATCCAGGGAAGGCACGTGGGTGGCTGAGGCTAAGCTGGTGGTGAGCAATGGTGAAAAGTTAAATGAAATAGAAGCTTGTTTGGAGACAATCAATAGGATGCTGATGGATCAAACCCAGAATCTGAAGAAAGGAAGTCAAGGATGACCCTCAATTTGGTGGCTGTGGTGTCAGGAGGTTGGGGAAAGTCAGCTTCATGAGGTTGACTGTATTATACCGATGAAAACAAAAGGGACTGGAGGATTAGACAAAATTAAGGTTATTGATGACCTGGGTAAAAGAATCTGTAGCAAAACGGTAGAGGGTTAGGTTAAAGAGAGGACGGCCTTCCTGTGGACTACAGTGGGAAAACGGCTGGAAGGAACGTGGCAGAGAAAAAAGAAAATACATTTAAGTCAGATATATTATTAAAAAATAGAGCACGTGCGTGCGCACACACACACATACACAACCTCTGGATCGCAAATGGAATATAAGAGGGTTTCCCAAGGCCTCGGCCAAATGCATCAACTGAAACAATATTACAATAATAAACGAAGGAACCCTAGAAGACATGCAAGCAGAAAAGAAAGTCACATATTATCACCCTGTAGCAATCAGAACAACATCTATAGTGTTTAAAGAAGTTTGTGACTTCAAAATATAGCAGCATGTCGTTTTTCTATTGTTAAGGCAGCAGATCTGCAATGATAACATATATGCCCAGTAACTGATAAACAGGCCAGGAAAAGATCTCACCAGAAAAAGACAATTTCTGGTAGGAAAGCACTGCTGTGATCAGTGAGCTGGGAGGAGTTAAAGACACGAAGTGTTTTCTCCTCGGTCTCTCTCGCTCACTCGCTCAGTCTTTTATTAAATTTTGCTGTCTCTCAATTGCTCCCTTTTGTTTTCTCTTCCTTCAGCCTCTCATTTTGTTCCCCCCCCCCTTTTAAAAAGGTTCGAAAATAAGAATCGTGTCTGTGCTCAATATTTGTTTTTTGAAGACATTGTAAAATAGGAGAAGAAAACAGCTAACTATAAACTAATTAGAAGAGACCCTCGTAAAACATGACGTCAGAGGAAGGAAGCGAAAAGACCGAAAGAGATGTGATGGACGAGCAAGTTACAGCAATGTTCATGTTAGTTTAGGCCATCCTGAACTGAATTAATAATGACAAAGAGGGTAAGGGCATGAGGATAAACAACAGTTTACTGGACAGTTATAACAGTGCTGAACCTTAATGTGCCTGACAACATAGCCTGAGAAGCAGCACCATGTTTTGTAGTCAGACTGCTTGAGTTCAAATCTCAGCTTCAGAATTTACTGGCTACACACCACAGGCAAGTTGTTAAACCTCCCTGTACTCAGTTTCCTTATATTGAAAATCGGGATAGTAATGATACCTACATCTTAGAGCTGTTATGAGGATTAAACGAACTAATACACATAAATATTTTTATGAGTGTGTGGTGTCATAAACATTGGCATTTTTATTGTCGCTGTTATTTTTATTAGTGCTGTTGCCCCAAACCATACAGAGAAAAAAATCAGCAAAATTCCAAGGAATATTTAGCATTCAACAGTCTTAGTAGGAGATTTTTAACTTACTTCTCAAAGCAAGGTAAATATGTTTTAAAATGTTTGAGACAGCTGTGAGATAGTTGCAATAAAACATTTAAACGTGCTGCGTTACCTTTCAAATCATTGCAAAAAAAGTAAATAAGACAATCAAAACTCTAAGTAGAAAGTAAAAAATAAATGAAAAACAACAACCAGAGATCAAAAAAGTAAGATGACAGAGGTTAAACTAGACATATGCATAAATGTGAATGACTTAATGTGTTAAAACAGTCTTAGAACATACTGAGTATACAATTTAATGATTTGCTACTTATAAAAGACATATATAAACTGCCACAATAGCCAAAAAAAAAAAAGAATTAGCAAAAAAAAAAAAAGTCAACGATGTTAATAAAAATATAGCACAGATGACAATTTTATTATAATGTTAGGTCACAAGATAAAGTTATAGATAACATAGTACCTTTTGTAATGGAGTGATATAGCGATAAATTATTTTTAAATTGTACAAAATAATCTAAAACGTTTTCAAAAACACAAATATCACTGAGAAAACTGATATTAGACACATTACATAAACCCCCTCTCTGAGGGCGTTCGTTTTCCAAGCTCCCCCTCAGAGAGGACGTGGACACTCGACTCTTGGCTGCTACTTCCTCGGTTGGCTGGGAAGTTCATGAGCACACTAGAGACAGACCTCTGGCTTGGGGACCTGTAGGACATTTGATTAACTGAGACTCAGAGTGAACACTCAGGACCGTGGGGTGGTTGTTACCAGTTACCCCCCAAAGCAGGCTGGCATGTAGCTAAAGACTCAGGGAACCTCTAGCTGGGAGGTAGCCGTACGCTATAAAACCCCCCTAATATAAAAGGGAGCATCTCTGCATTCCCGATGGGCTCCTCACGTAATTATAAGGTGATAATTAGAAGCCGGTACGTTCACAAGGATTTGCACACAAGAGAACTTTGCGCCTCTTGCTAGGAACGCTGCGTCCTGTGCTCTGCAGGTGTGCTTTATCCGCAGTCCGAGTCCGGTGGCTTCTTTCCTCCATGACATCGCCATCGCTTCTGTCACCTTGCAGGCGGTAGGTCAGGTCACGGATGCTCTAGACTGTGGAGGACCCAGGATGGCACAAACCTCCGACGTGGGAACAGATCCCAACACAGCATCTCGTTTCTCAGCTCTGTGTTAGTTCCCATTTCCTGTCGGCGCTGGGTACGATTGCACGGGTTGGGACAAGAGATCGTGGAGGCACCGTGGAGGGCGAAGGACGTGGGAGTGGAAAAGGGTTCTGTCTCTGCTCCCAGAGGAAGCGGACGACAGATCTGGGCCGTTTTGATTTTGAGGTGTCAGTGATGCATTCTGGTTCACCCCACCGTGTGTCTTCCCATTTGTGCTTGGCACCCCAACATTCCACTTGTCTAGCGCCAGGGAAGAGCCCTTCAATCATGTTTCACCCCTCGTTCTCACGTCACGAGAATACATTATGTGCACACGCTATTAGCTTCTTATGAGAAATTCCGGTGCTAATCTTTCAACGGTTTATTTTTTCTTTTACGTTTCATTCTTTCGCACTATGGGGTTCTTAAATTCTTTTCAATGTTGCATTTGTGCCAAATGGTAAAAGTTAATTTAAAAAAATGCTTTCGATGTAGACTATTTATGATTTTAATCTGCTAAGATTTGAAGGTCCACGATCGTAACCTTCTTGCTGACAAAGGCGTGATGGCATACTTCTGGTTCCCGGAGGAACTGATTTATAAGATCTTCCCTGAGTCCTGCAGCCCCTGCCCGGCCTGTGTTGGTGACAGCTTTGCAGCTGGCCCGGCCACTCTGCCCAGCGTCGTTTTCACGTGGCGTTTCTTCTCTCTCTCTCCTCTCAGGTAGAAATCGAGAAGCTGGATTACCACCATTATCTGCCTCTGTTTTTCGACGGGCTCTGTGAAATGGCGTTTCCCTACGAGTTTTTCGCTCGGCAAGGAATCCACGACATGCTGGAGCACGGGGGCAACAAGATTCTCCCCGTCATTCCACAGCTCATCATCCCGATAAAAAGTAAGTGCGCAGGTGACGGTCGCCGCTCAGCCGGTGCGGTGCCGCTTGTTGACGACTTGCCAATTAAGCAACGAAACACAGCAGACTGAGGCTCTCCGGGTTTCACGGGGATTTTTCTAAATCGACTTATGGGGCCAGACGTCCCAATTCTGATATATTGATACTGCTCTCCGCTTAGCCACACAAATAAGCTAAATGACACCGGGGTTGCACTAATTTAACATTCTCCCAGTAATGACACCTCATTAACACCATCTCGGGCACGCGGAGGTAGATAGAGGGCGTCTCTGTGTGGGTACGCTGCCACTCACTCCCAGGCCTTTGTTAATGACGCCCCTGTCTTTTCAATTACAATATAAACACAATCATGTTAGAGGTCTTTTGGGTCATAGGATTCATAATTAAAAAAACAAAAAAACATCTGGAATGGAGAAAACATTAACGTTATTGAATACTGGAGATTTTTAATCTGTGATAGGTTCCCTGGGAAAAGTCTAGAGTAGCCTGTCACGGCCTCTGTCTGTCTGTCTCCATGGTCCCTAAGGCCACATTCTTCTGACAGGAGGCCTTTCGGACTAGTGCCCCCTTCAAAACCGTCCCCAAGATTTTCACTTCTCAGAGTGACAGCCTCTAATGGCTCCCAAAAAAGCCCCTTAGTTGTTCCTCGTCCAGTGTCCCTCACCTTGCTGCCACAGCTGCTGCTGACCCTTGTAGTAGAGCCACCCTACCAGGACAAGACTCTGGGAGGAGCCGCCCGGCCTCTCCCCTCCAGTCCAAATGGCCAGGCCACCCACCTCACCATACACAACTGTGCCCCCAGATTCTGCTGGCACCAAGCTGCCGACCATCACCGTGCAGTGAGGACCGAGAGCAGAGGGTCAGTGCCTCTGAGCACCTCCCTGGGGGAGCCCCACCCGTCAGCCGGAGCTGCCCCAGGCTTTTTGCCCGCTAGATCTGGGCCTGTTGTCCCTGGCTTCACAGGGATGAGCAGGTTCCTGTGTCCCCAACCCCAGATTTGCCTCAGTTCCTACTTCAGAATGAACCGCCTCCCAGGGTGATTGACAGGGGCCCTGCCTAGTCTCTTAGGGTCTGGGGGAACCCCACTCTCTGTGTCAAGGTTGCTCTCACCATGTGTTTTGATCAAAATAAGAACAAAAGAAGCCAACACTGGGTCACTTTCCACGGTTTGGATTATTTAATTTTATCCGTGGTCACCTTTTTATGGATTTAAAATTAAGTACCGTTAGAATTCTAGATTTTTTGTGGAAAGGAACATGGAAAGAAAAACAACCCTTTAAAAGGGACTCAACAAACCAGCCGTTCCTCCCCCGGGCAGCCGGCAAGTGACGGGCTGACCTGCAGGAGGGAATCTAATACTGGGCCACAGTGAAACCGTTCGCAAACACGGTTCATCCTAGCACGTCACGGCTCTCGAGTTTGTCGGATTCTAGTGGAAGGGCGACGTGCTCTGAAGGATGACGTACGAGTTTTACTGATAATTGGAAAAGGCCCAGAATGTTCTCCCCAGGAACTGTCTCGGGAGTGCGTTGAGCTTCTCCCCTGCACACGTCAGAGTAGCAACAGAACAGCAACTGTTCTTGTCCTTAAAATCCATGTTGCGATCACTCTCTTCTCGGGGGGCTCCCCCTCAGGCCCCCGCCAAAGACACCGCAGGGCAGAGGAAAGCTCTAAGTAATAGTTCAATGATACGACTTAAAATAAAAGCATACCGAACTAGAGCGTTGCAGGCCAAGGTGAATTGATTCTCAGTTTTGTTTGCATTTCACCTAAGTGACATCAGAGAAAAGTGATGTGGGCAAAATTTATACTGGACACTTACTAGAGGTCATTTGCTGGCGAGTGAAAATGGTATTAATAACTCAGTAAATACGATTTGTCAGGGAATATTAACCGTATGTGAATTTGATAATTTACGGTTCCGGAAGCAATGGGAATTTGTCTCGGTAGATTCCACTGCCCGCCTTCCTGGTCTCCGACACCGATACCAAATCGAACTTGGCTTCTTTCTTCTCCGTCCCTTTTCATCCCTAAAAGCCAAACTTTTCTCGGGAAGGAATACTGATTAACTCTGCAGGATCGTGCAGAGTTCTAGCTCGGTGCGGAAAACATTACGTACAAAGACCGACTGACTCAGGCGAATTCTGGATGAGGCTAATTGATCTAGAAACAGGCCGATGCACATAACTGGCGTAACATATGACAGCTGAGTGTCCCTTGTTTTCAGACGGTACTGTTAGGATAATTTTAACTCTCTCCGCGAGCAAAAATTAACCTTATCATCACCAGCTGGCAAGTTCCTGAGCAGCTTTTCTCAAATTCTAACGAGTACCCATGAAGGCAAAGCACGTTGATATGCTCCCTGCAAGGCAGAGAGCTGGGGTCAGCTGCCCATCCGTTTCCAGAATAGGGGGTTGATTTCAGCTCGTTCTAAGAGTGATAATACCAGAATGAGAAACAGACGCATCTGGCTCTGGGGTTTCTGAGATGAAAAAGGGTAGGAAGAAGCTTCATCCCCTCGTCGGCCTGGTTCCCCGGGCTCCATAATGGCTGGGGCGGTCGGTGCGCGTCCAACACCGCGTCCCGTTCCTGTTGCTCTATGGCGCAGCTACGGGCACTTCCCTTTCCTCCCACCTTCTGATTTCCACCTTCCTGAGTTATTCTGGGTCAGACTCCCCTCCCCTGAATCCCGGTATAAAGGAGTCAGGGTTGGCAATGGCGCATTAGCTGCTGAGGGCGACGGCACCGTGGCATGCCGCATGGGACGAGAGGGAGCCCCCAGCGGTGTCGGCTGCAGGTTTAGATTTCTACTCGCTCCATCCAGCGAGGGGAGCGTGACCCCACCAGGCTCCAGCAGAGCAGTACTCAGAGGCAGCCTCCGAAGCCTTCACGTCCAACCCAGACAGGGTCTCCGGGGACGGCCGGGGGTCAGAGAGACACCCCAAGAGCGGCCCACGAACTCTGGGTCTGGGACTCTCTCCTCCATAAAAGCAAAAACAATAACACTCTTTGAGAGCTCGTTCCCAGCCATATAGTTTTGAGGCAACTGCCAGTCATCGAGAAGTGATCAGAATTTGGCTCTCTTCCCCAAGTTCACCTTCTCTCCCCCTCCACCCTTTAAAGGCCAGATCACAGTTTTGGTTAAATCAGTAACCAGTTGTTAACACTCTCGTGATCCCGTAAATACTGTTCACTCCAAATCACGTCTTCTGTGGCGACATCGCTTTTCTCTGACAGCTTGTGTTTCTTAGCGCCAATTCTAGCTTCTCATCTTGTTTATTTGTGTGGACTTAATACTTTTGTCACATATTTCAGGATTTAGCAAATGAATATTATTTTCCAGATGTTGAGAATACCAGATAACCCGCGGTTTTCTTCCTGCTGGAGACATTTGTCCTCGCGCCCTCCGCCTTTCTGCTCCAATCTGGACTCAGTGGCCCGACATTCCTCATTTTCGAAGCTTTCTGTTCTTAAAACTAAGAAGAGAGGTGATACGGGGAGTTTTAGCGATGAGACTAGGCCAGGTGCTGTCGAAATAACTACCAGGCTCCACAATCAGAAGCTTAAAACAGTAGGCGACTAAGAGGTCTGTTTCGCACATTGGCCGCGTACCTGCTGCGGGTTGGCGGGGGCCCTGTGCACTGTCCTTGGAGGCCCGGCCTGACGAACGTCGCTGGTCATGGCAGCAGCGGAAGCGAGGCCTCGGGGGGCCTCTCTCTGGCAGTGAAACGGTCCGTCCTGGAAGTTAGCACGTTTCACGGCTCTTCACTGCCAGCCCCAGGCCAAGGTCGCTTCGGACTTTCTTTCATGCTGTTGTTTCCTGCACGCGCGAGGGCTCGGGCCCCACTGCCCGGCAGAGCCCGCTTCAGCTTGCCGACTCCACGCCTTCGCTCCCGTCCGGGAACGCCTGCTCTCTCACCCCCAGAGGTCCGAACGGCAAGGGACCTTCCAGCTCAGCTCCAGGAGGCGGCGTCCTGTGGAAGCTCTTCACATCCGCCTTCTCCTCCCTGCCCGCAGCCCCAGGCCCCACCCCGCCACTTTCTCCCGCCGCCCAGAACGTTGCGTCTTCCTCTCGTGCCATTTAGAATATGACGTTGGAAAGGAATACATGCCACAGCCTCGAATGTGCCGGCTACTGTACAGTAGATGCATCAGGACGTTTGTGAAATTAATTTAATCAGGTCCAGAGCTGCCATCCGCATCAAAATTTGTGTAGGCGTCATAATGAAAAGCACAAAGTGGCCCTTTGGGCTCGCCGCCGTACTGCGCGTTCCATAAAAACTATCCTGGAAGAACCTCTAATACGCAACAACGAAGAGTCTAGTGACATAGCGGAGAAATTATCGAAGTGGCGAGATTAACTTCTGTGTGTTCAGCTGTATGCTCCCATGGGACTCTTTCCGTGAGCAGCGACGCGCGTTTGTGAGGAGGTCTACAAGGGGGCGAGGTGAGCCCGGCTGCCGGACAATTACAGAAATCCCACTGACCTACAAGTAGGTAGGACGCAGGACGGTGGCCTCATCAGGACGGCTCTGATGAGCTGAGGTCACCCAGCTGCAAAGGACGGACTGGGCAGGCACAGCTGAAGCCGCTTGAACAATACCATTTTCAAAAGCAAAATACTCTTGTTCGAGAATACCGAGTGGAAAAAAATACATACCAAATAAGGATAAAATATGAGAATCCACATCACAAACAAAAGCTGTTTCGAGAATTCTATTTAATTAGAAAGGAGCAAGAACAATGGAAATCCATTATCCTTTGTTGATGATCTAATAATTTTACTTATATATATATTGAAATTTTCTAGGTAAATTCTTTTAAAAGTGACAATAACTATAAAAAGTAACAATTTCTAATTTAAGGAGAAAATATCTAATTTGTTTTGAG